TATACAAAGGAACAATGCATGCTCTCTGCCAATCCCTAGGGGGCGTACCTTACCCTCTTCATACATTTATTAAATATTTGCACAACCACCTCCAAAAACTATATCCCCACCTGCTTTTAACATTTCTATTTTATCCCCATCAATCGGCTGCCTTACCCCTTTCATTTTACCTACTGCCTCACGAACTTCCCCACACTCACAACTGGCTTTCCTCACTCTACAAGATGTTATTCCTCCTTGCCCTTATACCCCCCCGCCCTCCAGTTCCCTATCTTCATCAACATTAATCAATCCTCAAAATATTATTCCTCATCTTCCCAATACCTCTAACTCTCCATTTAATAACTCTCCTCCTCCTATTTTTAACTGACAAATCCATTTGTTTTCTAGGCTTCTTAACTTGTTAATCTCACTCTTACAACTTTTTCTTATTTTCAACAAATATTCTGTTGATAACATCTCACCCACTCTCTCATTTGCTCCTCGTTTTACATTGCTCACCACTCTCTTAACCTCTCTCTTTTTCTCCATATACTCTTCCCTCCTTGCATCACTTCTTCTTGATTAAATTCCCAGAAACTTCTAACAGATACAGTATCCCCCCCCCCCCACCGCCCCCCCCCCACCATAAGACTCCACTGAGCTGGTCAGTCTTCACTAAACAGCCAATTACTCTTCAGGCATTCTCCACAGACTGAAGTACCATTAAATATTAAACTCATACTAAATAAACCTTTCAGGTATTTTGCCCATATAACCTATGTAAGTTTGAATTCACATGTTAAAAAACTAATGCCACAGTCTGTTTCAGAAATCTTGTTCTGTGTACCTATGGAACATTTGTGCTTTTATGATGTTTTGCCTACAATATATTATTTGGGAGCATCCAATAAATTATTTCCTTTAAAACAGGGCTAAATTACAAAAATTGTGGTACATTATTCAGACAGTCTATTCATGTTGTCTCAACGAGTTACATGTTTACTTGTGGTTTCTTGCAGTTCATGATTTTTTTTGTCCATTTCTGTCTACGGTATTTTACTTTCTGGCTCTTTGAAGGATATTTTTTGTTCTGTACAGTGGACCCACGGGGGTGGGGTGGTTGGAGTGGGGGGCGGGGGGGCTCTTGGGTTAGAGTAGTTGTTGGGCGGTGGGTGGGGGGGGGCGGTGGGGTGGGGTGGTGGGCGGGGGGGGGTGGGGGGTTGCTGGTTGCTGTGGGTGCTTCCTCCGAGGTTTGGGTTTTTTATTTTGTGTTTGGGGGTTGTAATTTTTTTTTTAGTTAACGATATTTTTTGCACTCCCCCCAGAAGTATGTTCTGGTGCTAGTACTGACCGAATTTAGTTCTCATAAGAAATATTGTGAAGTAGAGTAGATTAGTCCATTTCATGACAACCAAACTTTACACGTAACAAACGCACTTTCATAATACAATTAACATAATTGGTCGCATTCGGAGGTAAATCGTTATGCGGGGGGGGGTGTCTCCACTCCATCGCGGTCTCTACCTCTTCCGGGTTCCTTTCCACTGTAACTGTGCATGTTTTTCTTTAAAAATTATATTATAATTCTTTTCTCAGCTTGAATGTTTGTGTTTATCATTCACAGCATAATGGAAGATTGTCAGCTTCTTAATTCCAATAGAAGAAGAAGAAGAAAAAATGATGTCAGGTAGGGAGAGCAGAGGAAGGGGGAGCTTGAGGATGATGAAGGTAGGTGATTGACCCCCCTCAAAGAGCCAACCCCTCTCTTCTCCTAAGGTGGCTCAAGACGGAGAGGGAAGATGAAAGAGTGACGACTGAGGGGGGTCAGGAGGGAGGGAAATGAACGGGTGGGGAAAAGATGAAAGAAAGAAAAGAGAAAGAAAGAAAGAAAGAAGACACAAAGAAAGAAAAGGAGAAACCAAACAAAAATGTTGAGGAGCTAGAACAAGCAGAAATAAGCATGAGCACATGGAGGATAGGTGCTCAAACTGGTAGTGGGACGGGAGGCTCTGATCTGAGCTAGGAGGTGGATATGTGATGGGGGAAATAAAAAGAATGTGGTGAGGTGGACCTTGAGGGTAGAGGGAAGGGAGGGTGTTTATAAAAGGAGGAGATTGAAAAGAAAAGGGAAGGAAAGGAAGAAAGAAAGATAAGAGGAGGTTTGGTTAAGGCGGAGAGAAGAAAAGAGAGAGGTTAGGAAAGACGAAGAATATAGAAAAATAAGGGATAGAAGATGGGGCTTTTGGTTATTAAGGCTCTCTTTAATGGAGAGTGCGTAGTGTTAGGCAGCAGGGGAGGGGACCCCGAGGGATACATCGAGGGATATCAATAATTATCAAAGAATATGTTTTTGTTTAAACAATGCTTGATTGCATTATGGTTTTTATTGTATACAGATTGAACTACAAAAGTTTGAGTTAAGCTAGTATGAGTAAGCATGGGTTTTGAAGTCTAATATTGATAGAAAAAGCCACTGATTATCCTTGAATGATTTATGCCAACAAAATCCATTTTTTTTGGTGGTACATTATGTACTAGGAATTTTTTCTTGTAACTTAATGTACTTTACAATTCATAATTTTAGAGTTTGCCATTTTTGATAATAGTGCTTAAATACCCAAAGGTACATCAGCAATCATCTGTTTCTTGTCATCCGCACTACATCCACGCACATTTAAGCATCCCAGTTTTATAAAGTTTTTCTTCTTCTCTTTTTTAGTAAATGTATACAGGAGAAGGGGTTACTAGCCCATTGCTCCCGGCATTTTAGTCGCCTCATACAACACGCATGGCTTACGGAGGAAAGATTCTTTTCCACTTCCCCATGGACAATAGAAGAAATAAAAAAGAACAAGAGCTATTTAGAAAAAGGAGAAAAACCTAGATGTATGTATATATATATGCATGTGCGTGTCTGTGAAGTGTGACCAAAGTGTAAGTAGGAGAAGCAAGATATCCCTGTTATCTAGCGTGTTTATGAGACAGAAAAAGAAACCAGCAATCCTACCATCATGCAAAACAGTTACAGGTTTTTGTTTCACAGTCATTTGGCAGGACGGTAGTACTTCCCTGGGTGGTTGCTGTCTACCAACCTACTACCTTAGGTAGTAAACATGGAGTCAAAAAGCATTATCTATGGAGGCAAAGAAGGGAATGTATGAAAGTATAGTAGTACCAACACTCTTATATGCGTGTGAAGCTTGGGTTGTGAATGCAGCAGCGAGGAGACGGTTGGAGGCAGTGGAGATGTCCTGTCTAAGGGCAATGTGTGGTGTAAATATTATGCAGAAAATTCGGAGTGTGGAAATTAGGAGAAGGTGTGGAGTTAATAAAAGTATTAGTGAGAGGGCTGAAGAGGGGTTGTTGAGGTGGTTTGGTCATTTAGAGAGAATGGATCAAAGTAGAATGACATGGAGAGCATTTAAATCGATAGGAGAAGGAAGACTGGGTAGGGGTCGTCCTCGAAAAGGTTGGAAGGAAGGGGTAAGGGAGGTTTTATGGGCGAGGGGCTTGGACTTCCAGCAGGCGTGCATGAGCGTGTTCGATAGGAGTGAATGGAGACGAATGGTATTTGGGACCTGACGATCTGTTGGAGTGTGAGCAGGGTAATATTTAGTGAAAGGATTCAGGGAAACCGGTTATTTTTATATAGCCGGACTTGAGTCCTGGAAACAGGAAGTACAGTGCCTGCACTCTAAAGGAGGGGGTTTTGGGATACTAGCAGTTTGGAGGGATATGTTGTGTATCTTTATACGTATATGCTTCTAAACTGTTGCGTTCTGAGCACCTCTGCAAAAACAGTGATTATGTGTGAGTGAGGTGAAAGTGTTGATTGATGATGAAAGTATTTTCTTTTTGGGGATTTTCTTTCTTTTTTGGGTCACCCTGCCTCGGTGGGAGATGGCCGACTTGTTGAAAAAAAAAAATTAAGGAGGAATTCAGTAATTTTCTTTCTTAACATTTAACCGTTTCACTGTCTCATATGTAGATCTACTGTAAATCATTGATGCCAGTGTTGTTCATGTAGATCTCTGTAGTAAGCACAGCTTCTTCACATGTTGTGAGCAGTAAATTTGGAGCTAGACATGAAGGAATGAGTATGTACAGTAAAAAAATTTTTCTGCCCTATGTAATGCCTGATGGGAAAAGCAGATCACTGAGGCAGTGTTTAGTTTCGAGTAATGACTGAGGCATTTTTTAGGTTTTTTTTTTTTATGGTTTTTATTGGTATGAATTGATAGAATGGAAAACATACTAGTGAAGTAATGATGATTTTTGGTCAGTTTCAGACCAGAAGTAGGTTGAAATAGGCTCAAGGTGGCAGAAATGGATGTACGTATTTGATTTTTGGCAATTTTCCTAATACAGGTTAGGGCCTTCCTAGCCCCTAAGCCTGCAGTCTGTTTAATGGCTCTTTACCAGGTCTGTTTCAATTACTGAACAGCCTAAACCATGACCAATCATTATTGGTTTTATTTTATTTTCTGAGAAATTGGTAACATTTTCACTTTTTGCGTGTGATTAGGGATTCAAAGCGGGCAAGTGTTATGTAAAAGAGGCCTGGGGACATGATTAATAAACAGAGGAAAGGTTGCTTTAGTGCCTGGAATGCCTACAGTGTTTGTTTTGGGCTCTCTTTAACTTAAGTTTGTTTTTAATTTTGTGAAAAAATTGGCCCAATTACCAAATTGTGTGCACATTATAGGATAGCTCTAATTGTTGAATGGGAGGTTTCTTGTGCTCAGTTGAGCATGGGAATGGGTTTAAAAAATTCAGAGTGCTCAAAATCACTGATGTATAAATTGTGCCCATGCCGCCAACTTTTTGCCTGCGTAATTCTGTAAGTTTTACAACAAATTTCATATTTTTGGTGTCGATTACCTTTAGAAAAAAAAATTCTCTACCGTTTCAGATTTTTTTTTCATTTGTGACACTGTCAGCACTTTTAATTTTGGGGCCATGATATGAAACAGTTAATTTAAAATTGTTGTACTGTATCTCATTGCAGGTGAATATCGGTTATTTCTGATCACTTTATTTCTTTTAAAGCAATTCCTTCACCGTAAAATGGTGACTCCTGCGTTTGACAGCAATATGGGTTTCGATGCTATGCTACAGCAGGCAATGCTTTTGAGAGGACGCTCCCCACCACCTGGCATGATGACATATGCTCCGCCTCCGGTGCCCTTTGCTGGCCCACATTCAATGTTCAGAGGACGACCTATGTCAGGTATTATTATTATTATTATTATTATATTTAAGGGGAAGGGTTAAATCCAGAGAGGACATAAAGCTCCTGCAAAATTGGAAGGAATCAGCTTTGATCCAAGGAAGGGTGAGACAAGTCCAATTCCTTGGATCAAAAACCATCATCAAGGTCACTATCACAGATCATACAAAATAAAAGTTAAACAGACAATATAGATGTGTAATGAAGAGGTAGATAAATAAATCTACATTTTCACAGTATTGCTGGGAGTCAAAGCCAGCTTCAGCTGCGCACCTCTGGACACAGTCTCCCTCCATCATTTTGTTACAGTACAACTGCATTTTGAAAGTGTTGAATGATGGTGAAAGTGATTTTATTTTTTAGGTCACCCTGCCTCAGTGGGAGATAGCCGATGTGCTAAATAAAGAAATACTACAATTTGCTTGCTTGCTACTTTTTTAAATGAATTAATCTTTAAATACAGTTTGGTAAGGAAATTATTATTTTTTATTATTATCACACTGGCCGATTCCCACCAAGGCAGGGTGGCCCGAAAAAGAAAAACTTTCACCATCATTCACTCCATCACTGTCTTGCCAGAAGGGTGCTTTACACTACAGTTTTTAAACTGCAACATTAACACCCCTCCTTCAGAGTGCAGGCACTGTACTTCCCATCTCCAGGACTCAAGTCCGGCCTGCCGGTTTCCCTGAATCCCTTCATAAATGTTACTTTGCTCACACTCCAACAGCACGTCAAGTATTAAAAACCATTTGTCTCCATTCACTCCTATCAAACACGCTCACGCATGCCTGCTGGAAGTCCAAGCCCCTCGCACACAAAACCTCCTTTACCCCCTCCCTCCAACCCTTCTAGGCCGACCCCTACCCTGCCTTCCTTCCACTACAGACTGATACACTCTTGAAGTCATTCTGTTTCGCTCCATTCTCTCTACATGTCCGAACCACCTCAACAACCCTTCCTCAGCCCTCTGGACAACAGTTTTGGTAATCCTGCACCTCCTCCTAACTTCCAAACTACGAATTCTCTGCATTATATTCACACCACACATTGCCCTCAGACATGACATCTCCACTGCCTCCAGCCTTCTCCTCGCTGCAACATTCATCACCCACGCTTCACACCCATATAAGAGCGTTGGTAAAACTATACTCTCATACATTCCCCTCTTTGCCTCCAAGGACAAAGTTCTTTGTCTCCACAGACTCCTAAGTGCACCACTCACTCTTTTTCCCTCATCAATTCTATGATTCACCTCATCTTTCATAGACCCATCCGCTGACACGTCCACTCCCAAATATCTGAATACGTTCACCTCCTCCATACTCTCTCCCTCCAATCTGATATTCAATCTTTCATCACCTAATCTTTTTGTTATCCTCATAACCTTACTCTTTCCTGTATTCACCTTTAATTTTCTTCTTTTGCACACCCTACCAAATTCATCCACCAATCTCTGCAGCTTCTCTTCAGAATCTCCCAAGAGCACAGTGTCATCAGCAAAGAGCAGCTGTGACAACTCCCACTTTGTGTGTGATTCTTTATCTTTTAACTCCACGCCTCTTGCCAAGACCCTCGCATTTACTTCTCTTACAACCCCATCTATAAATATACAGTGGACCTCCGCTTAACGATCACCTCCAAATGCGACCAATTATGTAAGTGTATTTATGTAAGTGCGTTTGTACGTGTATGTTTGGGGGTCTGAAATGGACTAATCTACTTCACAATATTCCTTATGGGAAAAAATTCGGTCAGTACTGGCACCTGAACATACTACTGGAATGAAAAAAGTTCGTTAACCGGGGGTCCACTGTATTAAACAACCACGGTGACATCACACATCCTTGTCTAAGGCCTACTTTTACTGGGAAAAAATTTCCCTCTTTCCTACATACTCTAACTTGAGCCTCACTATCCTCGTAAAAACTCTTCACTGCTTTCAGTAACCTACCTCCTACACCATACACTTGCAACATCTGCCACATTGCCCCCCTATCCACCCTGTCATACGCCTTTTCCAAATCCATAAATGCCACAAAGACCTCTTTAGCCTTATCTAAATACTGTTCACTTATATGTTTCACTGTAAACACCTGGTCCACACACCCCCTACCTTTCCTAAAGCCTCCTTGTTCATCTGCTATCCTATTCTCCGTCTTACTCTTAATTCTTTCAATTATAACTCTACCATACACTTTACCAGGTACACTCAACAGACTTATCCCCCTATAATTTTTGCACTCTCTTTTATCCCCTTTGCCTTTATACAAAGGAACTATGCATGCTCTCTGCCAATCCCTAGGTACCTTACCCTCTTCCATACATTTATTAAATAATTGCACCAACCACTCCAAAACTATATCCCCACCTGCTTTTAACATTTCTATCTTTATCCCATCAATCCCGGCTGCCTTACCCCCTTTCATTTTACCTACTGCCTCACGAACTTCCCCCACACTCACAACTGGCTCTTCCTCACTCCTACAGTAGTGAGAGGCCCAGCTGATACTTTCACATTTAGATATTAAAATTCTTTCATTACTTTTATGCTAGGGTGTTCGGGAGAGGGGGGGATTAAATTATGGTGAATTAAATACAAAATGGGAAGTGACACAGTTACTTTTTGCTGATGATACTGTGCTTATGGGAGATTCTAAAGAAAAATTGCAAAGGTTAGTGGATGAATTTGGGAGTGTGTGTAAAGGTAGAAAGTTGAAAGTGAACATAGAAAAGAATAAGGTGATGAGAATATCAAATGATTTAGATAGAGAAAAATTGGATATCAAATGGGGAGGAGGAGTAGGGAAGAAGTGAATGTTTTCAGATATTTGGGAGTTGACGTGTCAGCGGATGGTTTTATGAAGGATGAGGTTAATCATAGAATTGATGAAGGAAAAAAGGTGAGTGGTGCATTGAGGTATATGTGGAGGCAAAAAATTTTATCTATGGAGGCAAAGAAGGGAATGTACGGAAGTATAGTAGTACCAACACTCTTATATGGGTGTGAAGCTTGGGTTGTAAATGCTGCAGCGAGGAGGCGGTTGGAGGCATTGGAGATGTCCTGTCTAAGGGCAATGTGTGGTGTAAATATTATGCAGAGAATTCGGAGTGTGGAAATTAGGAGAAGGTGTGGAGTTAATAAAAGTATTAGTGAGAGGGCTGAAGAGGGTTTGTTGAGGTGGTTTGGTCATTTAGAGAGAATAGATCAAAGTAGAATGACATGAAGAGCGTATAAATCTGTAGGAGAAGGAAGGTGGGGTAAGGGTTGTCCTCGAAAAGGTTGTAGGGAGGGGGTAAAGGAGGTGTTGTGGGCAAGAGGTTTGGACTTCCAGCAAGCATGAGTGAGCATGTTAGATAAGAGTGAATGGAGACGAATGGTATTTGGGACATGACGAGCTGTTGGAGTGTGAGCAGGGTAATATTTAGTGAAGGGATTCAGGGAAACCGGTTATTTTATATAACCGGACTTGAGTCCTGAAAATGGGAAGTACAATGCCTGCTCTCTAAAGGAGGGGGTTGGGATATTGGCAGTTTGGAGGGATATGTTGTGTATTTTTATACGTATATACTTCTAAACTGTTGTATTCTGGGCACCTCTGCAAAAACAGTGATTATGTGCGAGTGAGGTGAAAGTGTTGAATGATGATAAAAGTATTTTCTTTTTGGGATTTTCTTTCTTTTTGGGTCACCCTGCCTCGGGAGAAGGCCAGCTTATTGAAAAAAAAAAAATTAGTAAGGAAATATTGCTTTCATTTTTACAATGTTAACATTTCCTGACGGTGTCGGGTAATGAACCTCTCTAAAATAAGCTGAGGGTTAACAAGGACCCAGTAGCCTCATGTTAACCCTAGCCACACTTAAATAATGACTAACTGAATATAAGGTTAGTTTTTTTTTTTTTTTTTTTTTCAACAAGTCGGCCGTCTCCCACCGAGGCAGGGTGACCCAAAAAAGAAAGAAAATCCCCAAAAAGGTTAGTTATATTTCAGTAATTTTTCTCTTGTAAATAGTAAACAAAAATTTATTTTGCAGAGTTAGAGGTGTCTGAAACAAACTTTTTTCCCCAATGTATTCTTCACTTAACGCTATTTTGCATAATGTGTTAATTTTCAAGAATGTAACCTGTGCATTTTGAGTGAATTTTACGTGTAACAGTGTGATAAGCACCCTAGATCTCTAATTTATTTGTCTTTTATTTGAGAGAAGACTTGGTTTTTATAATAATACTGCATTCTTTTAATATATGGTACAGTTTATCCTTAGTAATGTAACTAATTTTCTTGCGCAGATTATGACTCATTTGATTCTGGCTCGGACTCTGAAATGCAAGACCGCCTTGGACGCCGACAAAGACGTAATAGCAGAAGATTCAGAAGGTCTCGATCCCGGTCCAGATCACCTTCTCGCAAAAATGAAGCTATATGCATGTATTACATGCAAGGCAGTTGTCAGAGAGTAAGATTATTTTAATTTTATATTTATGCAATACTACAGCCTCTCCTCACTTAGCATTGTACTCGTTTAGCGATGACTTGGACTTATGATGGGCTCTCTGACCAGTACAGGTCTCCCTCAACATTCGCATTTTCCACTTTTGCGGGCTTCGAACATTCTCAAATTCCCAACCGCCCAATCATATTTAAAATACAGTATGTCATTACATATGTTAGGAATTGTGGTGGTGGCAGAGTTTGTTTGGAGATATGACAAGATAGTCCTTCAATATGAAACTAATATCAACTCTGTGGCTTATTTATCTATCACAATTAATCTAATATGATATAATAAACAATATTAATTACATAGAAACATGACAAATACTCTAGAATGAATAAAATACATTATATCACAAGTGTTGTTGTGTTGGTGTTGTTGGGTGTATAAGGGCCACTGAGACATGGTGGTGGAGGCAGTAGAGACTAGAGATGACAGTGTTGTCAGTTGCCCTATGTAACTCCAACATTGGAAGAGTTAGGTTCGTGCTGTCCTTTTTCTGTCGATTAATCGCTTAACTTACTTGCTACACTGTTAATGCTACACTTTATCGCTGCCTGCCACTATAGCCTTTGTCAACTCATGCTGCTTGAGTATCATATATATATTGTAGAATCACTGAAGAAGGCACATTCTCCCCCCTCTCTTCCTCCTCCACTTTGGTACACTGCTACGAGTTTTTCTTGAATTCTATAGGCTTTCTCACCTTTTTACGATAAAGCTGGCACTAGTAGAATATTTTAGGATGTTTTCACGTGTTTTATGATTGTTCATGATTCAATAGGTTAAGGAAGCAGTATTGTTAGGCTAAGTAAATGCTATTATTATATTTCCCTACAATATATTTGGGCACCAAACATTCGCGATTTTTCAACATTCACGAGGTTCTTGATCCCCTAACCCTCGCGAATGTGGGAGGAGACCTGTATGCATACCTAAATAATGTATAATAGAGCTGATTTCCTCTATTCTGTTTATTACAATATACAGTACACTACTGTATAAACATTTAAAAATATACCAGAAATGTTATAAATGGTGCAAAGGTGACATTAAAACAATATCAGAGATAGTTGACACAAACCCACTACCATTATAGTATGGTCCTCACTTAGCAACGAATTCATTTACTGATGTAGTCTTAGAAATGGAACTCCATCATTAAGTGAGAAGAGGCTGTAATTAAGAACATAAGAAAGAAGGAACACTGCAACAGGCCTACTGACCCATGCAGAGCAGATCCATGTCTCCTACACCCCCCAGATTAGCCCAATGACCCCTCCCCTCCAAATTAACCCAATGACCCCCCCCCCCCCCGATTTGGCCCAATGACCCACCTAGTCTGGCCACCTCCACTCAAGGAAGGAGCACGGCACCAGACCCAGCAGCACAAGCTAGTCACACCCACTCATGTATTTATCTAACCTATTTTTAAAACTACACAACATTTTACCCTGAATAACTGTACTCAGGAGTTTGTTCCACTCATCCACAACTCTATTACCAAATCAGTGCTTTCCTATATCCTTCCTGAATCTGAATTTTTCCAAATTGAAACCATTGCTGCGAGTCCTGTCTTGGATTGGAAATTTTCAGCACACTGTTTACATCCCCTTTATTTATTCCTGTTTTCCATTTATACACCTCGATCATATCCCCCTTAATTCTATGCCTTTCGAGAGAGTGCACATTCAGAGCCCTCAGTCTATCCTCATAGGGAAGATTTCTGATACATGGGGTCATCTTTGTCATCCTCCTCTGTATGTTTTCCAGAGCATTTATATCCATTCTGTAATACGGTGACCAGAACTGAGAAGCATAGTCTAAATGAGGCCTAACCAAGGATATATAGAGTTGAAGAACAACCTGAAGACTTCTATTATTTATACTTCTAGATATGAAGCCAAGAATTCTGTTAGCTTTATTGTGAACACTAATGCACTGTTGTCTTGGTTTTAGATTACTGCTAACCAGAACTCCTAAATCCTTTTCGCAATCAGTAGTATTAAGATCTACATTATTTAGTTTATATGTGGCATGGTTATTTACCTGTCCAACATTTAGAACTTTGCATTTGTCAATATTAAACTGCATCTGCCCCTTCTCCGACCATTGCATCAGTCTATTCAAATCATCCTGGAGTGCTCTAGTGTCCTCATTAATTTTAATTAAAAGATTTTTTTTTTTAACACTTCAGCCATTTCCCACTGAGGCTGGGTGACCCAAAAAGAAAGAAAAACCCCAAAAGAAAGAAAAAACTTTCATCATCATTCAACATTTTCACCATCATTCATACATAATCACACTTTTTGCAGAAGCACTCAGATATGATAGTTTGTGTCCCTCTAAACTGCCAGTATCCCAGATCCCTCCTTTAAAGTGCAGGCATTGTACTTCTCAGGAATCGTATCCAGCTAACCAGTTTCCCTGAATCCCTTCACAAAATACTACCCTGCTCACACTCCAACAGCTGGTCAGGTCGCAAAAACCATTTGTCTACATTCACTCCTATCTAACACATGCTTGGTGGAAGTCCAAGCCCCTCTCCCACAAAACCTTTACCACCCTCCCTCCAATCTTTTCGAGGATGATCCCTACTGTTCCTTCCTTCCCCTACAGATTTTTTTTTTTTTTTTAACACATCGGCCGTCTCCCACTGAGGCAGGGTGACCCAAAAAGAAAATACTGTCATCATCATTCAACACTTTCACCTCACTCATACATAATCACTGTTTTTGCAGAGGTGCTCAGATACGACAGTTTAGAAGTCCCTCCAAACTGTCAGTATCCCAGACCCTCCTTTAAAGTGCAGGCATTGTACTTCCCATTTCCAGGACTCAAGTCTGGCTAAATCCCTTCACTAAATATTATCCTGCTCACACTCCAACAGCTCATCAAGTCCCAAAAAACCATTCGTCTCCATTTACTCCTGTCTAACATGCTCACACACGCTTGTTGGAAGTCCAAGCCCCTCACCCACAAAACCTCCTTAACCCCTTCCCTCCAACCTTTTCGAGGATGACCCCTACCCCTCCTTCCTTTCCCTACAGATTTATACGCTCTCCAAGTCATTCTACTTTGATCCATTCTCTCTAAATGACCAAACCACCTCAGCAGCCCCTCTTCAGCCCTCTGACTATTACTTTTAGTAAATCCACACCTCCTCCTAATTGCCACACTCCAAATTCTCTGCATAATATTTACACCACACATTGCCCCTAGACAGGACAACTCCACTGCCTCCAGCTGCCTCCTCGCTGCTGCATTCACAACCCAAGCTTCACACGCATATAAGAGTGTTGGTACCACTATACTTTCATACATTCCCTTCTTTGCCTCCATAGATAACATTTTTTGTCTCCACAGATACCTCAACGCACCACTCGCCTTTTTGTCTTCATCAATTCTATGGTTAACCTTATCCTGCTGACAAGTCAACTCCCAAATATCTGAAAATATTCACTTCTTCCATACTCCCTCTCTTCAATATGGTATCCAATTTTTCTTCATTTAAATCACTTGATACCCTCATCACCTTACTGTTATCTATGTTCACTTTCAACTTTCTACCTTTACACACCCCGAACTCGTCCACTAACCTTTGTAACTGTTCTTTAGAATCTCCCATAAACACAGTTTCATCAGCAAAAAGTAACTGTATCAACTCCCATTTCGTACTTGATTCCCCATAATTTAATCCCACTCCTCTCCCCAACACCCTTCCATTTGCTTCGTTTACAACCCCATCTAAAAATATATTAAACAACCGTAGCGACATTACACATCCCTGTCTAAGACCTACTTTTACCAGGAAGTAATCTCCCCCTCACCTACACGCCCTAACCTGAGCCTCACTATCCTCATAAAAACTTTTTACAGCATTTAGTAAGTTACTACCTATTCCATACACTTGCGACTTCTGCCACATTGCACCCCTATCCACTCTGTCATATAAAAGATACGCTCTCCAAATCCTTCTACATTACAGTGGACCCCCGCCTTACAATATTAATCCATTCCTGAGAGCTCATCATATGCCGAAATTATCGTAGGCGAATTAATTTTCCCCATAAGAAATAATGGAAATTAAATTAATCCGTTCAAGACACCCCAAAATATGAAAAAAAAAAAAATTTACCACATGAAATATTAATTTTAATACACAAACTGAAGAAGACATGCACAGTTAATTCCTTACTAAGAATAGAATACATGACACTTACCTTTATTGAAAATCTGGTGATGATTGATGGGATGGGAGGAGGGGAGAGTGTGGAAGTTGTTATTGTTTAGAAGGGGAATCCCCTTCCATTAGGACTTGAGGTATCAAGTCCTTTTCTGGGGTTACTTCCCTTCTTCTTTTAATGCCACTAGGACCAGCTTGAGAGTCACTGGACTTCTGTCGCACAACATATCTGTCCATAGAGCTCTGTACCTCTCATTCCTTTATGATTTGTCTAAAGTAGTTTACAACATTGTCATTGTAATAGTCAACCAGCACGGCTTGCAATAGCTGTGTGAGGGTGATTTTCATCCATAAAGGTTTGCAGTTCAACCCACTTTGCACACATTTCCTTAATCTCTTTTTTCAATTCCATACTAATTCTCACCCTTTTTACCACAGGGATGGCACTAGAAGCTTTATTGGGGTCCATGGTGACTTATTTTGCAGTAACAAGCACTAAAAACACTGGGATAATGTGAAATGTACCGAATGTATGCGTAGATGCGACTGCACTAGCTGGCTTGTAAACACTGGCGCTGAGGCCACACGTGGGACACGTCCTGGACGAATTACGTAAGGCGAGTTTTTTAGCATGAGGCGAGGCAAAATTTTTGCGTTAAAATGTATCGTATGGCGGATTTAACGTAACGCGATGCCATCGTAAGGCGGGGGTCCACTGTATTCCATTCTCTCAAAATGACCAAACCACCTCAACAATCCCTCTTCAGTCCTCTGACTAATACTTTTAATAAGTCCACACCTCCTAATTTCCACACTACGAATTCTCTGCATAATATTTAGACTACACATTGGATATTTTCTTTCTTTTTGGGTCACCCTATCTCAGTGGGAGATGGCCGACATGTTGAAAAAAAAAAAATTGCCCTTAGACATACCATCTCCACTGACTCCAGCCTCCTCGCTGCAGCATTTACAACCCATGCTTCACACCCATGTAAGAGGGTTTGTACCCACTATACTCTAGTACATTCCCTTCTTTTCCTTCATGTTACATATTTTTTGTCTTCACAGATACCTCAATGCCCCACTAACCTTTTTTCCTTCATCAGTTCTGTTGTTAACCTCATCCTTCATAAACCCATCCGTTGACGAGTCGGCTCCCAGATATCTGAAAAAATTAACTTCTTCCATACTCCCTCCCTCCCAGTGTGATATCCAGTTTTTCTTTATCTAAATCATTTGATACCCTCGTCACCCTACTCTTATCTATGTTCACTTTCAACACCCTTCCGAACTTGTCTACTATCCTTTGTGACTTTTCTATAGAATCTCCCAAAAGTAACTGTCATCTCCCATTTTGTATGTTTTCCCATAATTTAATCCCACTCCTCTCCCCAACACCCTAGCATTTACTTCTTTTACAACCCTATCTGTAAATATGTTAAACAACTTTGGTGACATTACACATCCCTGTCTTAAGGCCTACTTTTACTGGGATGTAATCACACTCTCTCCTACACACCCTAATCTGAGCCTCACTATCATAAAAACTCTTTACAGCATTTAGTAACTCACTACCTATTCCATGCATTTGCAACATATGCCACATTGCTCCCTGATCCACTCTTATCATATGCCTTTTCTAAATCTATAAATGCAGTGGAAACTTCCCTACCTTTAACTAAAATTGTTCACATATATACTTAAATGTAAGCACCTGATCTATACATCCCATACCCATTCTAAAGCCTCGTTGTTCATATGCAATCCTACTCTCTGACTTACCTCTGATTCTTTCACTAACAACCCTACCATACACTTTTCCTGGTATACTCAGTAAACTTCTTCTTTTTTTCAACACACCGGCTGTATCCCACTGAAGCAGGGTGGCCCAAAAGGAAAAACAAAAGTTTCTCCTTTTACATTTAGTAATGTATACAGAAGGGGTTACTAGCCCCTTGCTCCTGGCATTTTAGTCGCCTCTTGCAACATGCATGGCTTACGGAGGAAGAATTCTGTTCCACTTCCCCATGGGGGTAAGAGGAAATAAACAAGAAGAAGAACTAGTAAGAAAATAGAAGGAAACCTAGAGGGGTGTGTGTATATATATGCTTGTACATGTATGTGTAGTGTGACCTAAGTGTAAGTAGAAGTAGCAAGGCGTACCTGAAACCTTGCATGTTTATGAGACAAAAAAAGGACACAAGCAATCCTACTATCATGTAAAACAATTACAAGCTTTTGTTTTACACTCACTTGGCAGGACGGTAGTACAGTATTTCCCTGGGCGGTTGCTGTCTACCAACCTACTACCTATGACTCAGTAAACTTATTCCCTATAATTTTTACAATCTCTTTTATCCCCCTTTCCCTTATATAAAGGAATTATACATGCTCTCTGCCAATCCCTAGGTACCTTCCCCCTCTTTCATACATTTGTTAAACAAAAATGTCAACCACTCTAATACTATATCTTCCCCTGCTTTTAACATTTCTGTCATAATCCTGTCAATTCCAGCTGATTTACCCCCTTTCATTCTATGTAATGCCTCATTCACCTCCCCCACACTCACATCCTGCTCTTCTTCACTCCTAAAAGATGTTATACCTCCCTGGTCAGTGCATGATATTACTGCCTCTTTTCTCCATCGATACTTAAATGTTCCTCAAAATATTCCCACCATCTTTACCCAGTATCTCCAGCTCCCCATCTATTAACTCCCCTACTCTGTTTTTAACTGACAAATCCATTCATTCCCTAGACTTTCTTAACTTGTTTATCTAACTCAATATTTTTTCTTATTCTTAGCAAAATTTCTTGACAGTGCCTTTCCCACTCTGTCATTTGCTCTCCTTTTGCACTCTCTCACCACTCTCTTCCCCTTTCTTTTACTCTCCGTATACTCTGCCCGTCTCATATCACTTCTGCTTTGTAAAAACCTCTCGTAAGCTACCCTTTTTTCTTTCATTGCACCCTTTGCCGCATCAATCCACCAATCACTCCTCTTTCCTCCTGCACCCACCCTCCTATAGCTGCAAATTTCTGCCTCACATTCTAGTACTGCATTTTTAAAATTATCCCATCCCTCTTCAACCCCCCCCCCCCCTTTCCCCTCCTACTTCCCATACTTGCTCTTATACTTCAGAAGACAACTGGACAAAAATTGGTTATATCTCACCCTAGCTTTCTCCTCCCTTAGTTTATAAACTTTCACCTCTCTCTTACTTATTGTTGCCATTTTCCTCTTACTCTAACATTTTTTAACACACTGGCCGTCTCCCACTGAGGCAGAGTGACCCGAAAAAGAAACACTTTCACCATCATTCACACTCTGGCTTGCCAGAGGTGCACAGATACAGCAGTTTAGATGTCACTCTAAACAGCAAATATCCCAAACCCCTCCTTTAAAGTGCAGGCATTGTACTTCCCACCTCCAGGACTCTAGTGTGGCTAACCGGTTTCTCTGAATCCCTTCACAAAATATTACCCTGCTTACACTCCAACAGCTCGTCAAGTCCCAAAAACCATTCATCTCCATTCACTCCTATCTAACATGCTCACACATACCTATTGTATGCCCAGGCTTATTACACAAAAAACCTTTACCTCCTCTCTGCATCCTTTCCTAGGATGACCCCTACCCCACCTTCCCTCCACTACAGGTTTATACACCCTCTAAGTCATTATATTTTGCTCCAGCCTCTCTAAATGACCAAACCATCTCAACAACCCTTCCTCAGCCCTCTGAATAATACTTTTAGGAACTCCACACCTCCTAATTTCCACACTATGAATTCTCATAATATTTATGCCACACATTGCCCTTAGACATGACATCTCCACTGCCTCCAGCTTCCTTCTCATTGTAACATTCACAACCCACGCCTCACACCCACATAAGAATGTTGGTACCACTATACTATCAAACATTCCTTTCTTTGCCTCTATGGATAAAGTTTTTTGTCTCCACAGATACCTCAATTCACCACCCACCTTTTTCCCTTCATCAATTCTATGATTAACTTCGTCCTTCATAAACCCATCCGCCAACACGTCCACTCCAAAGTATCAGAACACATTCACTTCTTCCATACTCCCTCCCTTCAATATGATATCCAATTTTTCCTTGCCTAACTTGTTTCATACCATCATCACCGTGCTCTTATCTATGTTCACTTTCGACTTCTTGTACAATTACAGTTTATTCTTTTATAGGGAAAGGGTTGTCCATATTCACATGACATACAACCTCAACGAAAGATGGAACTCTGCAAATTTTATATGATGGATTGTTGTGCAAAAAAGGATAAATGTCTGTACATGCACAAAGACTTTCCGTGTAAACATTACCATACGGGTGTCAGGTGCAAATCTGCTGAGAAGTGCAAGTTCAGCCATGATCATCTCTCTGAAGCAGCTCGCAATGTTCTCCTCAAGGTTGGTGAAGGCTTTATTTAAAGCTAATGAATATTAATTTAAGGAAACCTTCAATTTTGAGCCTTTATATGTAAATATAAAAAGAGTAAGAGGGGAGACAAAAAATGTAAAAAAAAAGGAGAATGAATCAACATACAATCTGTAGTTCTTGTAGTTTGCATTACAAAAGGCATGTCCAATTAATTTAAGTTGATTCCTTATATTTTTGTTTAGTTAAGCATTCTGATACTAGATTTTAGTAAATCTTTAGTAATATATAATACTGTATGGAAAAGACTTGGTAATTGTTCATTATTGCAATAGGTATTTTATAGAGTTCTTGCTGGATTCAAGATTTTGATGGTATAGAGCAGTGATATGCAGTAAAACCTCTTATTAATGGACCTCGCATTAATGGATTTCAGCAGTTTCTGACAAAATTGACAGGACAAGCACTCTAGTTATCAGACAAAATATACAAAAGTTTGTAACATTAAATTTTGTCTGTAGTGATAATGTCCAGTTGTCTTCTGATGTATAAGAGCAAGCTAGATGACTTAACGGTATGAGGCAGAACAATTACCTCCAGGACCTGCCATAGGATACCTTGCTTGGCCTGCTGGCCAGGTAGACAGGCCAAGCAGGCAAGCAGGTCAGGCAGGTGGGATGGCCAGGCAGGGAGGCAGACAAGTAAAGAAGGTCAATAGGCAGGCAGTCCTGCCAGGTGATACTGTAACACATGTACACAAATAACCTACATTTAAAGGTTTGGTATAAAAGGAATGTGCATAAAAATAAAGATGCAGCATCTAGTGTGGGTGTTGGAGGTGGGTGTTATGTCACCAGATCTCACCCCCTTGCCTTTGTTATCCTCAGTACTTTATTTATATCGTGTTTGTTTATACCAGTCTTCCACTTATATACATGTACCTCAATGATATCTCCCCTCATTCTGTGTCTCTCAAGAGAGTGAGGGTTCAAGGCTCTCAGTCAATCCTTGTATGAGAGATTCCTTATACAGTGGATTAATTTTGCCATTCTTCTCTGTTCTCTAATGCATTTATATCCATTCTGTAGTAAGGCTACCAAAACTGAGCATTATAATCTAAGCGAAGCCTTACTAGTGATGTACAAAATAATTTTGTACTTACGTTACTTATACTTCTTGATATAAATCCAGGTAATCTGTTAGCTTTATTACACACACTTAGGCACTGTTGTCTTGGCTTCAGATTTCTGCTTACTATGGCTCCTAAGTCAAGACTGAAAAGGTGTGGTGATGCTGACAGTAGTATGTAAAACCTTATGCCTGGAGTTTAGGAAAAATCTAATTTCATGAGAGGAAGGTATAGCCCCTGTCTTATAGAGGTCGATTTATAGCTGTTGATATACAGGAATTAAATCTTGCTACACGACTCTACATTTGACAGTAAAAGAATATACAGTACTGTATATGCATAAATTCTTTTTCATTAATATCAAAAGTAAGTATTTTGCTTGACATTTCTCAGTAAGAGATTTCATTGTGAGCATTTTTTCCAGCACATAGAGTTGGCTCCAAAAGACATCCTAGGTGACTTTCCTCGCCTGACTAAAGAAGCGGCTCAACTTGTAGTATCGATTACCGAGGCACATCGCAGAGGCTCTCCGATGGATGTTGAAAATATACCTGGTGTTATGGAAATAAAGGGCAGAGGTTTTAAGTGTAAGTATAAAAGGAATTCCTTGTGCAATTTTGCAGGTTTCTTGATGAGCTACAAAATAAATCAGTATTTTAAGCATTCCAGGTTAGCCATGTATACAGCCTCTCCTCAATTACCGACATACTCCTGTGCCGAAAACTCGGAGTTACAACGAGCTCTCCCCAACGAGTTGGCAGTATATGCTGTATGAGAACTTGGGTCATGGAAACGGGCAGTGCAGCATCTCAATGTCAAGCATCTCAATCTCCTTCCTACAGCCATTTAGTACACTAACTTTCAAAGTTTTCAAGATTACATATTAAAAAGTTGTACTTTATTGTGCACCCCATAGTACAAGATAGAAGTGCAGCAGCATTTGGAAGAGGAAAAACAGGAGGAAAATGGAAGAAGTTCATTGTAAAGGAGTTAGTGATGGGTCTCAGTATCAAGCAATCTCCAAGACTACATATTTTGTAGAAGCATGATAAAGATGCCTAAGATGACTGTGAAACAGAAACCTGTAACTGTTTTGCATGATGGTAGGATTGCTGGTGTCTTTTTCTGTCTCAAACACGCTAGATAACAGGGATATCTTGCTACTCCAACTTACACTTTGGTCACACTTCACAGACATGCACATGCATATATATATACATACATCTAGGTTTTTCTCCTTTTTCTAAATAGCTCTTGTTCTTTTTTATTTCTTCTATTGTCCATGGGGAAGTGGAAAAGAATCTTTCCTCCATAAGCCATGCGTGTCGTATGAGGCGACTAAAATGCCGGGAGCAATGGGCTAGTAACCCCTTCTCCTGTAGACATTTACTAAAAAAGAGAAGAAGAAAAACTTTATAAAACTGGGATGCTTGAATGTGCGTGGATGTAGTGCAGATGACAAGAAACGGATGATTGCTGATGTTATGAAATGAAAAGAAGTTGGATGCCCTGGCCCTAAGCGAAACAAAGCTGAAGGGGGTAGGGAGTTTCGGTGGGGGGAAATAAATGGGATTAAATCTGGAGTATCTGAGAGTTTAGAGCAAAGGAAGGGGTAGCAGTAATGTTGAATGATCAGTTATGGAAGGAGAAAAGAGAAATGAATGTGTAAATGCAAGAATTATGTGATTAAAGTAAAGGTTGGATGCGAAAAGTGGGTCAAATAAGCGTGTATCAGCTGGAGAAGAGAGGAATGCAGAGGAGAGAGAGAGAGGTTTGGGAGATGTTAAGTGAATGTATAGGAGCCTTTGAACCAAGTGAGAGTAATTGTGGTAGGGGACCTGAATGCTAAAGTAGGAGAAACTTTTAGAGAGGGTGTGGTAGGTAAGTTTGGGGTGCCAGGTTGTAAATGATAATGGGACCCTTTGATTGAACTTTGTATAGAAAGGGGTTTAGTTATAGGTAATACATATTTTAAGAAAAAGAGGATAAATAAGTATACAAGATATGATGTAGGGCGAAATGACAGTAGTTTGTTGGATTATGTATTGGTAGATAAAAGACTGTTGAGTAGACTTCAGGATGTACATGTTTATAGAGGGGCCACAGATAAATCAGATCACTTTCTAGTTGTAGCTACACTGAGAGTAAAAGGTAGATGGGATACAAGGAATAGACATCAGGGAAGAGAGGGTGAAGGTTTATAAACTAAAAGAGGAGGCAGTTAGGGAAAGATATAAACAGCTATTGGAGGATAGATGGGAATGAAGAGCATAGGCAATGGGGTCGAGAGGTATGGGGTAGGTTTAAAAATGTAAGTGTTAGATGTGTTTCAGCAGAAGTTTGTGGTTACAGGAAAGTGGGTGCAGGGAGGGAAGAGGAGCGATTGGTGAATGATGATGTAAAGAGAGTAGTAGGGAGAAAAAGTTAGCATATGAGAAGTTTTTACAAAGTAGAAGTGATGCAAGGAGGGAAGAGTATATGGAGAAAAAGAGAGTGGTGAAGCAATGTAAAAAGAGAGCAAATGAGAGAGTGGGTGAGATGTTATCAACAATTTTGTTGAAAATAAGAAAAGTTTTGGAGTGAGATTAACAAGTTAAGGAAGCCTAGAGAACAAATGGATTTGTCAGTTAAAAATAGGAGAGGAGAGTTATTAAATGGAGAGTTAGAGGTATTGGGAGATGAGGGAATATTTTGAGGAATTGTTAAATGTTAATGAAGATAGGGAAGCTGTGATTTCGTGTATAGGCAAGGAGGAAAAACATCTTGTAAGGAGGAAAGCCAGTTGTGAGTGTGGGGGAAGTTCGTGAGGCAGTAGGTAAAATGAAAAGGGGGTAAGGCAGCCGGGATTGATGGGATAAAGATAGAAATGTTAAAAGCAGGTGGGGATATAGTTTTGGAGTGGTTGGTGCAATTATTTAATAAATGTATGGAAGAGGGTAAGGTACCAGGGATTGGCAGAGAGCATGCATAGTTCTTTGTATAAAGGCAAAGGGGACAAAAAGAGAGTGCAAAAATTATAGGGGGATAAGTCTGTTGGCAGAAAGGTAGGGCTAGTGCAAAGATGAGTAGTGGGGGGTTGAAGAGGGTTGGAATAGTTTTAAAAATGCAGTATTAGAATGTGGGGCAGAAGTTTGTGGTTATAGGAGGGTGGGGGCAGGAGGAAAGAGGAGTGATTGGTGGAATGATGAAGTTAAAGGTGTGATAAAAGAGAAAAAGGTAGCTTATGAGAGGTTTTTTTACAAAGCAGAAGTGTTATGAAGAGAGCAGAGTATATGGAGAGTAAAAGAAAGGTAAAGAGAGTGGTGAGAGAGTGCAAAAGGAGAGCAGATGATAGAGTGGGAGAGGCATGTCAAGAAATTTTAATGAAAATAAGAAAAAATTTTGGAGCGAGTTAAACAAGTTAAGAAAGCCTAGGGAAAATATGGATTTGTCAGTTAAAAACAGAGTAGGGGAGTTAGTAGATGGGGAGATGGAGTATTGGGTAGATGGCGAGAATATTTTGAGGAACTTTTAAATGTTAAGGAAGAAACAGAGGCAGTAATTTCATGCACAGGTCAGGGAGGTATACCATCTTTTAGGAGTGAAGAAGAGCAGATGTAAGTGTGGGGAGGTACGTGAGGCATTACGTAAAATGAAAGGGGGAAAAGCAGCTGGAACTGATGGGATCATGACAGAAATGTTAAAAGCAGGGGGGGATATAGTGTTGGAGTGGTTGGTACTTTGTTTAATAAATGTATGAAAGAGGGGAAGGTTTCCTAGGGATTGGCAAGAGCATGTATAGTCCCTTATATAAAGGGAAAGGGACAAAAGAGACTGTAAAAATTATAGAGGAATAAGCTTACTGAATATACAGGAAAAGTGTACGGTAGGGTTATAATTGAAAGAAATTAGAGGAAGACAGAATGTAGGATTGCGGATGAGCAAGGAGGTTTTAGAGTGGGTAGGGGATGTGTAGATCAGGTGTTTACATTGAAGCATATATGTGAACCAGTATTTAGATAAAGATAGGGATGGTTTTTATTGCATTATGGATTTAGAAAAGGCATATGATGAAGTGGATAGAGGAGCAATGTGGCAGATGTTGCAAGTATATGGAATAGGTGGTAAGTTATTAAATGCTGTTTAAAAAGTTTTTATGAGGATAGTGGAGGCTCAGGTTAGGGTGTAGAAGAGAGGGAGACTACTTCCCGGTAAAAGTAGGTCTTAGACAGGGATGTGTAATGTCACCATGGTTGTTTAATATATTTATAGATGGGGTTGTAAAGGAAGTAAATGCTAGGGTGTTTGGGAGAGGGGTGGGATTAAATTATGGGGAATCAAATTCAAAATGGGAATTGACACAGTTACTTTTTGCTGATGATACTGTGCTTATGGAGATTCTAAAGAAAAATTGCAAAGGTTAGTGGATGAGTTTGGGAATGTGTGTAAAGGTAGAAAGTTGAAAGTGAACATAGAAAAGAGTAAGGTGATGAAGGTGTCAAATGATTTAGATAAAGAAAAATTGGATATTCAAATTGGGGAGGAGGAGTATGGAAGAAGTGAATGTTTTCAGATACTTGGGAGTTGACGTGTCGGCGGATGGATTTATGAAGGATGAGGTTAATCTAGAATTGATGAGGGAAAAAGGTGAGTGGTGCGTTGAGGTAAAATGTGGATTCAAAAAAACGTTATCTATGGAGGCAAAGAAGGGAATGTATGAAAGTATAGTAGTACCAACACTCTTATATGGGTGGAAGCTTGGGTGGTAAATGCGCCAGCAAGGAGACGGTTGGAGGCAGCGGAGATGTCCTGTCTAAGGGCAATGTGTGGTGTAAATATTATGCAAAAAAATTCGGAGTGTGGAAATTAGGAGAAGGTGTGGAGTTAATAAAAGTATTAGTCAGAGGGCAGAAGAGGGTTGTTGAGAGTGGTTTGGTCATTTAGAGAGAATGGATCCAGTAAAATGACATGGGAAAGCATATAAATCTATAGGGGAAGGAAGGGCGGGGTAGGGGTCGTCCTCGAAAGGGTTGGAGAGAGGGGTAAAGGAGGTTTTGTGGGTAAGGGGCTTGGATTTCCAGCAAGCGTGCGTGAGCGTGTTAGATAGAGTGAATGGAGACGAATGGTACTTGGACCGACGATCTGTTGGAGTGTGAGCAGGGTATATTTAGTGAAGGATTCAGGGAAACCGGTTATTTTCATATAGTCGGACTTGAGTCCTGGAAATGGGAAGTACAATGCCTGCACTTTAAGAGGGGTTTGGGATATTGGCAGTTTGGAGGGATATGTTGTGTGTCTTATATAAGTGTAATGCTTCTAGACTGTTGTATTCTGAGCACCTCTGCAAAAAACAGGATAATGTGCGAGTGTGGTGAAAGTGTTGAATGATGATGAAAGTATTTTCTTTTTGGGATTTTCTTTCTTTTTGGGTCACCCTGCCTCGGTGGGAGACGGCCGACTTGTTTGAAAAAAAAAAAAAAAAAAAAAAAAAAAGTCTGTTGAGTATACCTGGTAAAGTGTATGGTAGAGTTATTATGAAAGAATTAAAAGTAAGACGGAGAATAGGATAGCAGATGAACAAGGAGGCTTTAGGAAAGGTAGGGGGGTGTGGACCAGGTGTTTACAGTGAAACATATAAGTGAACAGTATTTAGATAAGGCTAAAGAGGTCTTTGTGGCATTTATGGATTTGGAAAAGGCGTAATGACAGGGTGGATAGGGGGGCAATGTGGCAGATGTTGCAGGTGTAATGGTGTAGGAGGTAGGTTACTGAAAGCAGTGAAGAGTTTTTATGAGGATAGTGAGGCTCAAGTTAGAGTACATAGGAAAGAGAGAAATTATTTCCCAGTAAAAGTAGGCCTTAGACAAGGATGTGTGATGTCACCGTGGTTGTTTAATATATTTATAGATGGGGTTGTAAGAGAAGTAAATGCGAGGGTCTTGACAAGAGGCGTGGAGTTAAAAGATAAAGAATCACACATAAAGTGGGAGTTTTCACAGTTGCTCTTTGCTGATGACACTGTGCTCTTGGGAGATTCTGAAGAGAAGTTGCAGAGATTGGTGGATGAATTTGGTAGGGTGTGCAAAAGAAGAAAATTAAAAGTGAATACAGGAAAGAGTAAGTTATGAGGATAACAAAAATATTAGGTGATGAAAGATTGGATATCAGATTGAGGGAGAGAGTATGGAGGAGGTGAATGTATCAGATATTTGGGAGTGGACGTGTCAGCGGATGGGTCTATGAAGGATGAAGTGAATCATAGAATTGATGAGGGGAAAAGGGTGAGGGGTGCACTTAGGAGTCTGTGGAGACAAAGAACTTGTCCTTGGAGGCAAAAGAGGGGAATGTATGAGTAGTATAGTTTTACCAACACTCTTATATGGGTGTGAGGCATTGGTGATGAATGTTACAGCGAGGAGAAGGCTGGAGGCAGTGGGGAATCATGTCTGAGGCAATGTGTGGTGTGAATATAATTTGAGAGAATTCGTAGTTTTGGAAGTTAGGAGGAGGTGCGGATTACCAAACTGTTGTCCAGGGCTGAGGAAGGGTTGTTGAGGTGGTTCGGACATGTAGAGAGAATGGAGCGAAACAGAATGACTTCAGAGTGTATCAGTCTGTAGTGGAAGGAAGGCGGGTAGGTGTCGGCCTAGAAAGGTTGGAGGAGGGGGTAAAGGAGGTTTTGTGTGCGAGGGCTGGACTTCCAGCAGGCGTGCGTGAGCGTGTTTGATAGGAGTGAATGGAGACGAATGTTTTTAATACCTTGACGTGCTGTTGGAGTTTGAGCAAAGTAACATTTATGAAGGGGTTCAGGGAAACCGGAAGGCCGGACTTGAGTCCTGGAGATGGGAAGTACAGTGCCTGCACTCTGAAGGAGGGGTGTTAATGTTGCAGTTTAAAAACTGTAGTGTAAAGCACCCTTCTGGCAAGACAGTGATGGAGTGAATGATGGTGAAAGTTTTTCTTTTTCGGGCCACCCTGCCTTGGTGGGAATCGGCCAGTGTGATAATAAAAAAAAATAAAAATAAATTATTTGGGGAAGTATTGAAAGGTGGGCGATGGGGGAGGGCGGGGAGGGATAAAAAAAAAAAAAGTAACTACGACCCTTACAGAGAACGTTTTGCGCCTGAAGGGTAACTGTAGAAGATCACTTATCCTGTCACCATTAATAATGAATGGATTGAAAGGATTTTCACAGCAAACATAAAACTGAATGTTTTAATTTCGTGTGGTGACATTTTTAAAGTATCAGTAAGGGATGATTTCTTGATTAGCAACGAATTCATTTACCGACATGGTCTTAGGAACGGAACTCCATTGGTAAGTAAGGAGAGGCTGTAGATTGGTACCTTGACTTACGAGTTTAATTCGTTCTGTGACCGAGCTCGTAATTCAGTTTGCTCGTATATCAAACCAATTTTCCTGATTGAAATTAATTGAAATGCCATTAATTCATTCCAGCCCCCAAAAAACCACTCCAATTTTTTTGTTATGGGTTTTTAAATAAGAAAAATATATTTATAGATAAGAAGTGATTTTTGCCTTTTTTGCCAGGTCCCAGTAATGTTTTAGAAATGCTGGAGTATGTATGAAACTCCTTGAAGCACTGTGTAAGACTGTCACTCCACTGCTGACAGTGCAGCAGTGGAGTGACATTTGATGATCATGCACTGCATTGGCTTTATTTTTCACTGTTACTCATAAACATGTCTGTCTATCTGTTTCTGTCTGTCTGTTTCTGTCTGCCTATTTGTCTGTCTAGCTCTATGTTTATCTCTGTCTTTGCTTGTCTGTCTTTCTGTCTGCCTGTGTTTCTGTCTTCCTTTCTCTCTGTCTCAGAGAGAGAGCCACTCATTAAACCAATAGGTATTACACACGATGCAGAGTCGTCATGTCTGATTCCTGAACAAGTGAAAATGTGCATTACTTGCCAGTCATGCTTATTATGCCTTAGATCTACAAGCACAGTATAGCACTTTGTCTGGATTTTTTGGGTTGCACTAGGTAATTTACACTATGTATAACTATTTATATGTAGCTGTGGGATAGAGACAGAGATAGATACAGACAGACAGAAGGAGATAGAGACAGCCAAAGCAAATCAGCCAGTCACCAACCAGCCAGCCGGCCTGCCGAACATGTATTACACGTGTTTCAGAATTGTTTCTCTGTACTTAGGGCATACATTATAGAACATTCTGGCAGGATGACACTAACTATGGTATCAAAATTCAAAGGATGCTACACATTGGTTATTATAGAGGTTTTTGATATTTCCTTGGTATCTGCTGCAAGTGGCAGCACATCTGAAGCTCACTCGTAACTCAGATTTTGGGTTGCTATTCGAAGCAAAAAATCAACCAAGTGACGTCTTGTAACTCGGAAAACTCGTAAGTTGGGGCACTTGTAAGTCAAGGTACCACCGTACTTGAAATCCCTGATATGTTCTTTGAAAACTAAAATGCCCTTGAATTTTTTTAAATAATTGAATGTCCTCACCTCATTGTTAAATTATATATCATTTGAGCAGTGTCATCTGCATGAATAAGGTAATTTAGTAATTCATATAGTGCACCTCTTTATTTAACTGGCTCTTGGAAAAGAGATGGGAAAACTTGTGTAGGAAATGATGTAGTTTACTCTTTGTATTTTTTTACCTCATTAATGTAACAGAATTTTGTATTATTTGGCCATAGAAGAGATGGGAGTAAAATAGATTTTAAGCAAGCAGGCGTGGGCATGTTAGACAGAAGTAAGTGGAGACAAATAGTTTTTAGGACTTACATGCCTGTTCGGAGGTGAGCATAACATTTATGGAGGCATTCGGCAAACCGTCAGGCCAGACTTGATCCTGGAAGTGGAAATTCAGTGTCTGCACTCTGAAGGAGGGTTTAATATTAGTGTTATAACTAGCTTGATGCACCTCTGGCAAAGCAGTGATGGAGTCATATGATGAAACGTGTTACTTTTTCCACCCCCTTGTGGAACACCGGAGGACATCAATAAAAATTTAAAAATAATAAAAAGACGGGTGTGTGTTGCGGTACTCGCAGAAAAATGTTTTTCTGTGTAACAAAGAAGAAATTACCTTTTAGTAATGAACTGTCTAGGAATTGACAGGCCAATTCTCGAACATTTCAGCACAGGAGGACTCGTAGGGAGGAAAGATTCATGTTATGTCGCCAGGACATGGTGATGTTAGAGAAAATGAATGTGAAATAAAAAGTGATGTGGGGTCACTATATATATATCAGTTTGAGGTGTTGTGAAGTGTGAATAGGATGGAGAAGGAGGCAAAAAAGCTGTTATACTTAGGGTGGTAGGTAGGAGAAAGAACAGATCTACCCAGCAAAGTTGAGAGGTTTTGTCAGAGTCAGTTTAGGTATTTGAGTATTCAGCAGACTGGTTGTGTATTAAAAGGAAAAATGGCATTTTAATGAATGTGCTGTTGGAGTGTGGGTAAGGTAACTCTTATAAAGGGATCCTGGGAAAGTGGTTAGCTGGACTTGAGTCCTAAAGATGGGGAAGGCAGTGTTTGCACTCCGAAGGAGGGGCAGGAAATTTTTACTCAAGGTGATGTTAGCACACTTTTGGCAAGATTGAGTGAATGGTGGTGGTGGTGAATGTATTTTTTTTTTCTAGTAACCATACCTTTGTGGGAAATAGCTGTTGAGTTCAAAAAAAATTAAAACCTTCCTGCCCACCTGCCTCTTTCCCTCCCTCCCTTGCTGTGCTTGCCTTGCCTTTTCCTACCTTACCTACCACCTGTATTAGCTTTTATAAATTTACTCTTATTTATTATTAGCTTCATCAGTATTCTTGATAATTTTTTATATTTTTCTGATTGGTATATTTTTGTGTTACAATAGATGTCGACAAAGCAATAAAGGCTGTGGCCAAAAAGCAAGAAGCACGGATGAAAAGTATACATAAAGATCAACTCCTTGAGCCATCAGGATTAGAGTGTGTGTCAAGCCCTGAGCACCATCAGATAAACAAGCCAAGCCATCAGCATCATCATCAAGAAGACAGTAGAGTCAAGTCTCCTGGCAATCAGATACGGACCCCACCACGACGTAGGTGCTCTCTTTTATGTTAGGTATAGCTTTTTAAAACTAACAGACAACTGCTAAAACTTTAAAAATAGAGTTGCAATATTAGTTTTAATAATTATGTGCTGCTGCTCCCATTTTGTGAAAGGTTATTATTTTCTAAATCATTTCAGATGTTCTCTTGGTCACAAAATATCATATTGTTATCTGTTTGTTTGTTTCATATACAATTTTAATTGTTATTACCTTTTCACTAATTTTCCCTTTTTGTGGATTTGTATTAGTATATTGTTGTTACTGGTAACATTTTTTTTTGTTTTTTTTTTTTTACTTGACAGCCGTCTCTCGACAAGGCAGGTGACCCAAAGAAGAAAACACATTCATCAATGTTCACTCAGTTTTCATCTTTCCAGAAATGTACTGACATCACAATCAGATTACCTCTTCAGCTATATCATCCCCACCCCTCCTTCAGGATGCAGGCACTGCCCTTCCCACCTCTGGGACTCGAGTCTGGCTATCCAGTTTCCCTGAATCCCTTCATAAAAGTTACCTTGCTCACACACAAACAGCATGTCAATTAAAACATTTATTTTCATTCACTCCTATCTAACATGCACACATAAGCCTGCTGTATGCTCAAGCCCCTAAAACTTGTGTCCCTTACCCCTGAGATGATCCCTTCCTCTTCTACCCTACAATTATATACCCTCTTTGTCAACCTATCCCTGTCCATCCTCTCTACATGCCTAAACTACCTCAACAACCCCTCCTTAGCTCTCTGAATAATGCCCATAGTCACCCCATATCACTTTTTAGTTTTTATACTTCAAATTCTCTGGATGATATTTATCCTATATATTGGTCTCAAACGTGACACCTAAAATTTTACAGAATAAATAATTGTAGGTGTTTTCATGGGGAAGTTGAAAAAATCCAGCCTCCATAAGCCCGGCATTTTACCAGGAGCGAGGGGGCTAGTAACTCCTCCTCCTGTATAAATTACTAAATGTAAAAAGAAGAAACTTTTTTTTTTTTTTTTTTTTTTGGGTCACCCTTCCTGGGTGAGAGACAGCTGGCATGTTAAAAAAATGTTAGAATGTAGAAATAGTGTGCTGTTTTATATAGTTATTTTAAACTGTATTCTAGGTCATTTGTATCTTTGGCCCCCTCACTTGCTGCCATAGTCACATTTTCTTTAATGCAGAATTTTGATGTCATGTACTGTATATACAGTATTATTGTTTTTAATCACCAATGCTAATTTCAAGTAAGGCAATGAAATAAGTTTCAATGTGAGGTGATTCAACAGGATTAGACACTCGGGTCTGTGGCTGTAGAGGAATGAGTGCACACCACAGGCTCAGCAAAGAATGGGTAAATGACTCCTATTTTAAAAAAAGAGGTGTGTTAATATTTGCCAAGTTCACATGCATTCGAAGATACCACTGTGTGCAGTGTTTGTTTAATGCACATTGAGGAAGTGTTTTGAGTTGTTTCTTTATTGCACGTAGATTTAATGTTTATTATTTTCAAGAAAGTATTTATAGCAGGTATATATTTTTAAATGGGTGTATTATTTTTCACATTTTCATTTCAGGAGGTAGATGTAATTTGTGTCTGCTTGTAATACTTTTTTTTTTCTTCACTGGTAATTTCCTAACATGACAGGGTAACCTAAAAAAAGAAGTGTGTAACAAATTCAGTGAAGAGCAGGGATGCCATTAGATACAGTCTGGGAGCACTGTCTCAACATCAATGGTCCAGGACTTCAACTTACTGAAAACATATCAGAAATACTGCCAGAATAAAGACACAAAATTTCAAGATACTGGACAGCTTCATGGGAGGTTCCTTGATACTGATGAGGGACTCTTACTCCGAAGAATTAGACAAGACCTCATCTTTGGATTGAATCTGATTGCTTCCTAATGACCCCTGTGGGTTTAGTGCCCCTCTCTTTCCAATGAATGCAATGATAATACAAGTGCCAGATCATCCTAGGTATGATGATTTTGTGTCCCAGCTATCGGGTAACATAAACAGCTTGGATGACAGCCTAGCTCTTGAAACCTGACCAGTCAGGCTAGAAGAGCCAAATTCCTTGAAACTGGTCACAAGTATACAGGATCAAGTACCATTGTGGTATAAGCTCAAAACTTTTCAGCTCTAAATTTTTTGGTCATATTTGCTCATGGCTCCATGGGAAAGTGGAACAGAATGCTTCCTCCATAAGCCATGCGTATCGTAAGAGGTGACTGAAATGCCAGGAACAAGTAGCTAGTATCCCGTTCTCCTGTATACATTACTAAATTTAAAAAGAGAAACTTTTGTTTTTCTTTTTGGGCCACCCTGCTTCAGTGGGATACGACCGGTTTGTTGAAAGATGATGATTTGCTTATGGCAGACAATTGGAGGTTGTGATGATGCATGTATGTTGTTTACTATGAGCTGATTTGCTGGATTTGGTCATGTTCTTTGACAAATTTTTTAGTGGGTCCTAGTGAGAGTGGCTGCATTGTTGGCAGTAAATTCTTTACCATACTTCAAGGCACTGCAGCATTTCTACTATGTAAATAAAGGGTGTTGACTGCTATTTTCCAAAAAATAGAATTTTAATTCTCTGTTTTATTTTTGAAGCAACCTTAGTTACTTTGCCTCTCATATAGTTATGTGGGCTCCACAGCCCCTGCTTATTACCTCTTAATTTTTGTTTTTGAAATAAATTAATTAGGTATGATATTAATGTAAGCTTATACCTCCATTTATAAACTATAAATATCCAAATGAATTGCAATTTACAGAACATTAATTATTCTGTAATCACTTAGATTGAGCACATTAATGAAATTTTTAAAAGTGAGATGATCCAACAGGATGGTACAACCAGGGTAGTGGCCCACAGGAAATGAATGCATATCAACAGTGCAGCAAAGAATGGGTTGATGATTACCATTACATGCAAAAAGGTGTGTTAATATTTGTTCAAAGAGCACAAATACAGTATTTGGGAATTCTTCAAAATGCTAAGTGTGTGTGTGTGTGTGTGTGTGTGTTACTACATTATTGGGATGTATATGTACTCATTGATTTGTTTTGGGGTTTACTATGAATTAGTATTTGTCTACTTTCATCTTCATTTTTATTCTAGTATCCTACCTCTAGTTTACATTTTGATGTGAAGAATTACACGTGCAACATCTGGGTTTCTCTATTTGTGGACGTTTCGCCATCCAGTGGCTTTATCAGTGTAATACAAGGCCATAATGTGAAGACTGAAGAACTCTATAAAGCCTCTGGATGGCGAAACATCTACAAGTAAAGATATCCGATGATGCACGTGTCTAATTCTTCATCTTGTGGGTATTGTATACTATTCATGAACACTTTTTGAGGTGATTTTATTTTTCACATTCTTATTTTATTGAATAGGATCACAGTTTTCCTGATTTAATTCACTCAGCAAGAATACAGTATTTAACTAATTCTTCAAGTACAGTACCGGTATTGCCAGATTATTTAGTAACATTTTAAATATGGGTACATGTTCCTGTTATTTATATTATCAGATTAGTAGTATAATATAGTATGCTAAGCATATTGTATGTCACTCATTTGTAGTATGTCATGTGGTGTATGCTATACACATGGAATATATGCATTGTCTTATAACAGTGTTTAAAATCACTAGGGGACAAATATTGTTAACATTTGTGATTCTGATAGAGCTTGATACACAACTTTAGAGATTGTAAACAGTAATTGGTGCCTTAAGGTCAGAAATTTATGTCACGACTAACTTCTGTAGAGTACCGGAGAGAAATTTCGTTTCATTGATTCCAAAACTGTTGTTTAAATTGTTTTGGGTATGCGTACAGTAGTTCAACTCCACCATTGGTAAAGAGAGACAAATGTAGCTATGTGGAATCTTTTATTGATGATATCTTAGCTATGCAGTTGGTTTTATCAAGACACAAAGAGATCTGTTTGTGATTTTAAAACTCAGTGCATTGATGAAACAGCCAATGAAGGATTCCATAAAATTTCATCTCTTTTTTTCCAATGTGTCGATATTTCATACCACTAGGTTTCCAGCTGTGTATACAGTTAATGATTTTCTTTTATAACAAAATGCCTTCTGATTTGTTTTCTAGTCATGAAGTACATTAAAAAATTCAGATTTGTTTCCCCCTCCCTCTCAAAAGGTAACTGAAATGTATATAACTATTCTAATTTTGGATAAGGCAATATTTTATTTTGCAGTAAAGCCTTACCTTGCTAAAATTTACATAAAAAAAAAAACTCTAGGTCATTTATAAAGAATTTTGTTAACTGTATATTTCACTTGTCTTCCTTCGGAAGGAGAGATGCAAGTCATCAGCTAGAGTATTTCTTAAAATTCTTTTGCACTTACAATTGCTTGTTTGTGCAGGGTTCCTTTTTTTTTTTTTATACTTTTGACCTCATTTGTTTTTTTTTACTGCATTCATTTAAGTTCTAGATTTAATTTCTTTCTCCATGGGGAAGTGGAACAAAATTCTTTCTCCATGAGCCATGCATGTCATACGAGGCGACTAAAATGCTGGGAGCAAGGGGCTAGTAACCCCTTCTCCTGTATACATTACTAAATTTAAAAGGAGAAACTTTCGTTTTTTCTTTTGGGCCACCCTGCCTTGGTGGGATACAGCTGGTTTGTTGAAAGAAGATGATTTAATTCCTTCCTCCATGGGGAAGTGCAAAAGAATCCGCCCTCTGTAAGCCATGCTTATCATAAGAGGTGACTAAAATGCTGGGAGGAAAGGACTAGTAACCCCTTGTAAAAAGAGAAAGTGCTTCTTTTTCAGGTCACCCTACCTTGGTGGGAGACGACCGGTGTGTTTAAAAAAAAATTCTTCCTGTGCTGCTTGAAATTTTATGTGGAAATTAATCAATATTGTTGTGTTTAAATACCATTTTACATATGTTTGCCCTCCTGAATGTATGCTTCTCCACTATAGCTTTGCCAACTATTTTTTCTCCCATTGTCCCACTGCTTACTCCTGCTCCATTTTTCTCTGTTTTCTTAACCCTCTGACTGTCCAAACATAGATCCACGTTTGGAGCACTACTCGAGCAAACGTAGATCTACGTTTGGACAGTTTAAGGGTTAAAATTTATTTTACAATAGTCACACCATCTCAATTGAGAGTCATTTGATGTAATAACCACAAATTTTAGAACATATGTATTTCTTTAACCCTTAAACGGTCCAAACGTATATATACGTTTTTTCAACATCTGAAAGTATGTAAGAAAATATAGATCTTTTTTGTTTTACATTTGAAACTGTGTAAAAAAACTTTTATCTACATTTTTTTTTTGTTATATTTGAAAATATGTAAAAAAAAGTAGATCTACTTTTGGAGCACTACGAATTTGAACGTCGATCTGTTTGTACCGTTTAAGGGTTAAAGTGTTAATTTTTGTATGCTACTGTTGAAGCATTAGATAGCCACATTATGCAAAGTATTAAATAAAAAAATTTCTGCAAAATAGAATGGTCAATGATATAATGGGATTCAAAATAAATGGCCAATGGTATAACAGGCTTCAAAATATATGGCAGATGGTATAATGGGATTCAAAATAGAATGGCCAATAGTATAATGGGATTCAAAATAGAATGGCCAATGGTATGATGAGATTCAAAGTATTAATAATTTTATTAACCTACAGGTGAAGATATGGTCAATGGTGAAGTGTTTCAGTCGGAAGGAAACAGCACCATGAGAAACATGAGTCCAAATAATAAGAGTAATGTCAGCCCTAACACAATCAGTTCTTGTCAAGCTGGGGCAAGTGCTAATAGGAAGATGGGAAGTTTTATGACAGCACGAATGCCTCAGAAACAGCGTGAGCTATTCCAGCGGATTGAGCAACAGCACTCAGTTCACCATGACCAAGAAGACCCACTGGCTGATGGGGGCATGGAAGAAGTATCACCTTGTACCAGCAATGTTAACTGGTACTCCAGTGATGAGGAGGCTGATAATGCTTCATTTACCAAGACACAAGGGCAGGTAATTATTTTCAGTATCTTTTGTTTCTTTGTTCTCACTAATATGAGAATAAGATTGCTTATTTTGTGTGTGTGTGTGTGTGTGTGTGTGTGTGTGTGTGATGAGTCTTTATTAGCAAATTTTGTTGAGAATAAGCTGAGAGGGATCACTCAGATGAGGATGACTGTAGGGCAAATTGACTTAGTGGTTATAAATAAAACTGCGAAGATGTTAGATCTACCTGGAGGGTATTACGGAGATCAGTGCCCCACGGCCCAGTCCATGACCAGGCCTACCAGTGGATCAGGGCCTGATAAACTAGGTTGTTACTGTTGGCCGCACATAGTCCAGCATACAAACCACAGCCCGGCTGATCCGGCACTCACTATAGGTATCTGTCCAGTTTGCTCTTGAAGGTAGCCAAGGGTCTATTGCTAATTCCCCTAATGTCTGGTGGGAGGCTGTTGAACAGTCTTGGGCTCCAGATACTGAATGCATTTTCTCTTAGTGTACTAATGGCACTCCTACTTTTCACTGGGGGTATTTTGAACTGCCTGCCCAGTCTTTTGCTTTCATGGGGAGTGATTTCTGTGTGCAGATTAGGGACTGGTCCCTCTAGGATTTTTCAGGTGTAGATTATGATGTATCTCGCCTGCACTCCAGTAAATATAAGTCAAGTGCTTCCAAGCATTCCCAGTAGTTAAGGTGTTTGACAAAACTTACATGTACAGTAAAGGTTCTCTGTACATTCTCCAGATCTGCAATTTAACCTGCCTTGAATGGAGATGTTAATGTACAGGAGTATTCCAGCCTCGAGAGAACAAGTTACAGTGGACCCCCGACCAACGAAGGCATCGTCTAATGATAAATTTGGGTAACGAAGTGTTTGAGTGTAAAAATTTTGGCCCGACCAACAATGAAAAACTCGACCAACATGATTCATCCCAAATGCGTCCACGTGTCCCGTCTGGCCTGAGCGCACCTTAGCTGCCCTGCCTTCAGTTAGTGTGCCAGTGTGGTCGCATCCATGCATACATTCAGTACATTTTGTATTATTCCAGTGTTTTTTAGTGCTTGTAACTGCAAAATAAGCCACTATGGGCCCCAAGAAAGCTTCTACTGCCAACCCTGTGGTAAAAAGGGTGAGAATTACAATTGAAATGAAGAAGGAGATCATCACAAAGTATGAAACTAGAGTGCGTGTGTCTCCGAGCTGACCAGGTTGTATAACAAACCCCAATCAACCATCACTACTACCTTGGCCAACAGAAAGGCAATCAAGGAAGCTGCTGTTGCGAAAGGTGCAAGTATGTTTTTGAAACACAGATCGCAAGTAGTTGAAGATGTTGAGAGACTGTTATTGGTGTGGATAAACGAAAAACAGATATCAGGAGATAGCATCTTAAGTGATCATATGTGAAAAGGAAAGGCAGTTGCATGACGATTTAATTAAAAATAAAGGTAAAGTGTCATTTATTCTTCATTACACAATATACATATGTATACATGTATTGTGCATCTATCCTTCTGTTTGTGTGTAGGAAAATGTATATTTCATGTGGTAATTTTTTTTTTTTTTCATACTTTTGGGTGTCTTGAATGGATTAATTTGATTTCCACTATTTCTTATGGGAAAAATTAATTCAACTAACGATAATTTCATCTAACGATGAGCTCTCTGGAATGGATTAATATCATTGGTCGAGGGTCCACTGTATTTAAAAAGGGTTATCATTGGCTTGGCATCTCTTCGTTTTGAATGTTCTCATTATTCATCCTACCATTTTCCTAGCAGAGGTGATAGTTGAACTGTTGTAATCCTTGAAGGTGAGATCCTCAGATGTTACCACTTCCCAGAGGTTCCTTCATCATTATTCATTGTTCTAATTCTACGTGTGGTATAGAGAGGTTTGTAGGATAGATAAAGTTCATACTTTAATATCCTCCAGTTTGTCGCGATAAGGAGTTGTGGGGGTCACCATAGTTTCATATAGCTGAGGAATGGGTTGTTTGAGGTGGTTTGTGAAGGGCATAGTCAGTAAGTAGCAGATTGTAAGGGATAGGATGTTGCAAACAGAGGGTATATAACTTTGGCCCTTCGGAAGACAGGATAGATGGGAGTACCTGGGGTCCATCCAGCATGGTTGGTGTGGGTAAAGTTAACAGGTCTTCGGGATTTTAAGAACCTTAAGCTCACAACAGGTTGTGCTCTGAAAGTATTAGACGCGGAGTGAATGGAGACAGTGGTTTTTAATGGGTGTGTACTGGTTATTTGAATGAGTCATTTTTTTAAATGATTCAGGTAAACATGTTAGGCCAGATTGGAGTTCCTGGTAAGGCAAAGATGTTGCAAACAGAGGGTACTCTGATTGTATATTGCACACTTTGGAAAGACATCAGTTGAATAATTATGGTGAACATGTTACCTTCTTTGGGCCACTTGCCTGATGGGCTGTGAGTTTAAATATATACCAGTCGTTCAGGGGCATTGGATCACAGAACACCTTCCTAGTAGACTCCAGGCATACAGTATGTATGTTTTTTAACTCAATGGCCATCTCCTGAAGAAGAAAACACAATCATTATTATTCATTCAGTCATTGTCTTTCCAGAAATATATTGAGTGGGGGTGTACCAAAGTATCAATATTGGCTAATTTTGATGGTATTGATATCAGTGAGTACTGGCTAATTTTAAAAGTACAGTGGTTCCTTGAGTTACGATAATCTGTTCCAGAAGACGTATCGTACCTCAAAACTATGGTAACTCAACCCTAAAATATGTATATGGTTTTATGGTGATTTGTTTCAAGATGCCAGAACACACCCAACTTGCCCTTGGATATTTTGCTTTTTATCCCTTTGACTGTTTCGTCCGTATATACATATACGTCTTACAAATCGATGTTTTTGACGTAATAATACGCCAAAATTCTAGCGGCTTCAAATCAAGCAGGAGAAAGCTGGTAGGCCCACATGTGAGAGAATGGGTCTCCATGATCAGTGTGCGCAGTATAAAAAAAAATCGGGGAGCCAGTGGTGCATTGTGGGAATGCCATTTCAGTAGTCCTTGTTCAGCATGCCTAGCAGTAAGAAATATCTGACTCCCCGGCGAATCTGGGACTCTTCTCTTCCCAAGTGATAGCTCTAACACAGATGGAAGTGCCAGTGAAGATGAATTTATGGTTTTGAGGAGTTTGTGACCGAAAGGAATGCCCAGGATACCAGAAGGAAGGAATGAATGAATTAAAGAAAGAAAGGAACTTGCAGAGGCAAGCCTGTAGGCATATGGGTGACATTCAAAAGTGGGCCATTGCTAAATGGGAGGTGGACACTAAAAGAAAGCTAGCATCAGGTAGGGTAGGCTCCAAAACCTGGTGGTCCCTGGTCAAGGACAGACAAGGTTATCTGCCTGATAAACTCATTCCACCTCTAAATCGACAGGATGGGACCACTTCTACTAGTAGTCAAGAGAAGGCGGACCTCTTTGCTGAACACTTTGCTACCAAAATGCAAGTTCCTGATCCAGCAAGGGACCCTCCTTGGCTAGCTGCAAGAACTGTGTCAAAACTGTCAGTGGTGACAATAAGGCAGGAGGAGGTGCATTTCCTTCTTAAATCGCTTGACCAAGAAAAGGCTGTGGGCCCAGACAAGTTGAGCCCAAGATTGCTGAGAAGATGTGCAGACCAGCTAGCAGCACCTGTAACTTGCATCTTTCAGCACTGCCTAGTACAGTGTAAATGGAAAGAGGCAAATGTAATCCCTGTTCACAAAAAGAAGAGCAGAGCAGAAATCAGCAACTACAGACCAGTGTCACTCCTGTCAATCACTGGTAAGATCCTTGAGACAATAATCTCAAGGCAAATGACAGAGTTTTTTGACTACCACTCACTACTTTGTGATCGTCAGTATGGCTTCAGGAAAGGTTACTCTGCTGCTGATCTGTTGTTAAACCTCTCCACTAAGTGGCACCAGTCACTGGATGAATCCAAAGTCAGCTGTGTGGTAGCACTGGACATTGCTGGCGCTTTCGACTGGGTGTGGCACCAGGGCCTCTTAGCAAAACTTCAAGCACTGGGAATTGTAGGCTCTACGCTATGTCTCCTCAGTGATTACCTTCATGGTAGATCTCTAAGTGTAGTTCTCAATGGAACGGAATCAGCAAAACATCCTGTTGGGGCAAGTGTTCCACAAGGAAGCGTGCTTGGACCATTGTTATGGAATGCCTACTTCATTGACCTTCTTCATCTCATCCCAGAATCACATGCATATGCAGACGACTGTACACTGACATTCACTTATCCAAGAGAAGAAATGCCAGCTGCTCTAAGCTACATCAATCACCAGCTGAGAGCTATATCAGCTTGGGGAAATAGATGGCAAGTAACATATGCACCTGAGAAAATGCAAATGATGATAGTCTCTAGGCACCATGATGGTAATGCTGGTGCAGTAGTAAGGATGAATGGGAGGGTGTTGGCACCTGGAGAAGAAGTTGATATCCTTGGGGTGAAATTTGACTCCAAACTAACCATGAAGAACCATGTTGTAAATCTTGCAAACAAGGCAGCCAGGAAGCTTACAGCACTTCGCCGTAACTCGCATCTACTTGACAGTAGGAGTTGCAAGATTCTGTACGAGGCACATGTACGCTCACACCTTGAGTATAAACCATACCCCCGGCCGGGATTGAACCCGCGGTCATAGTCTCTCAAAACTCCAGCCCGTCGCATTAGCTACTAGTGGCTAATGCGACGGGCTGGAGTTTTGAGACTCTATGACCGCGGGTTCAATCCCGGCCGGGGGTATGGTTTATTTGCAATCGTGTCATTACGATTTCTTAAGACACCTTGAGTATGCTCCACTTTCTTGGTTTGCCTGCCCCCCCCTCTCATTTGCGACTGCTTGACAGAGTAGAGAACAGAGCAAGACGTCTCATCTCTCGCCTGGACCAATCCTGGATAGATCTGTCATTTCAGCAGAGCCTTCAACATAGGAGGGATGTGGGTGGCCTTACTGTTA